CGTGCGCCACGTCTCGACGGTGAGGCGCGAGCAATTAGGAGCGCCCGAGCTCCTTATTAAATGCGCCCTGAATGTTTGATGGGGCTTTTATCGGGACGACCCCTAACCCCCCCCCCCCCACCCGACTCCCCCCGATCGTCATCCTATGGCTACCGGGTCCCCCCGATCCCCCCTCCATCGTTTTGCCCCCCTCGTACAATATACTCGCCGGCCGCAAGCTCGCCAGCGCGCGACTTTCATTGGCGTCCGACCACTACTATACACTGCCCTACGTTATACACACGGGCGCGACGCACTTGCCGTTGCTTTATGGGTGCGCGAGCGCGCGAGTGCGCGTGTGCGCGGGTACGTGTCGTGTCGGCGCGCGCTTAAGCGAGCAAAGCCGACAGAGAGAAGCTTAGGCGGGGGCAGGAGCTGAAGGGATTGTCGGGTGGGACGGGATGAGCAGGAGAATGTGTATGTGTGTGTGCGTGTGCGCGCATGTTTGCGTGTGTGTGAGTAAGAGAGAAGGAGAGAGAGAACGGTTATGGAACGATGCGAGGCGCGGAGAATGTTTTGGCGGCAGCGCCGAGTCCTGTCTCTCCGTCTTTCGCTTGCTAGCTCGCTCGCTCGCTCTCTTACTCTCCCCATTACGGGCGAGTCATCGATTTCACAAAGAGGGAGAGCCGCCGAGCAAGACAGACAGTTAGACAGACACGGAGACAGACAGAGCGAGATCGAGAACGGGAGGGAGAGAGAGCACAAGTAAGGGAGTGAGGGAAGGAGAGTGGGAGAGAAGAAGAGAGAGAGAGAGAGAGAGAGTGGGCGAGAGCGAGAGATGCAGACGCACGCACGCGCAGCAGACCTCTTAGCTACTGATTGGTGACGAAAAGTGGTGTATTATAGGATACTGGCGGAGCGAGCGAGCGCGCGATCTTCAGGCGGGGGAAGGGAGAGCACGAATATAGATATCCAAAAGAGGGAGAGTAGTTGAAAGATCAATCGCGCGGTTCCACCGTATTTCTCTCTTACTCTCACTCACTCTCACTCTCTCTCTCTCTCTCTCTCTCTCTCTCTCTCTCTCTATATATATATATATATATATATAAATCTCGTACCCTCCCTTCCCGCCGTCTCTCTCTTTGTTCGCATCTCATGATCTCTCGCTCTTGGCTTATTTCAATTGCCTCTAATTACAAGAGAACAAGGGGGTCGGGAGATAGAAATGAACAGCACACTCCTTTTGCCGAACAACCGAATCGATGAGGGGCGATTAAAGGCGCGCCCAGGCCATAAAATGTCAGCGGCTCGTGACCGACTTGATCGCCAAAAATGCGATGGCACCCCGTTGAAAATAGACGCGCGCGCGCAATGAATGGAGGCGACGCCGCGATACGAGCTGCCGCCGAGTGTTAAGAGGCAGTTTTCCACCTCCGCCCCTCTCGCGAGGAGCGGCGGCGCCTATAGCCTTGGCTTACGCCACTGCGTCTTCTTCTTCCTCCTCTTCAGTCGCGGCCACCACTTCCCCATTAGCTCTCTTAACCTCCTCCGTCTCATCCCCTTCCCTCCCTCATCATTCTCATCCTCATCCACGGCTTCATCCTCCTCTGTCCGCGCGCCCCGCGCCAACCAACACCCGGCGTCGCTCAGCTGCTCCCGTCGCTCGCTCGCACATTCGCTCGCTCTCTCGCTCCGACGCGGCGCATAGTTTATGAACCTGTGGCTTCAACGAACTTCGCTCCTTCTCGCCGTTAAGTGCACCGTCGTCCTACGCTCGCCAATCCCCCATCGGAGACAATAAAAATTTGCCTAATAGCCAGAGCCGCTCTCAATTTCTTCCTTCCTTCCTTCCTTTCTTTCTTCCTTCCTCCCATCCTTCCTTCGTCCCGTCCTCCCGTCCTTCCTTCCTTCCTTCCTTCCTTCCTTCCTTCCTTCCTTCCTTCCCTCCTTCCATCCTTCCCTCCTTCCCTCCTTCCCTCCTTCCCTCCATCCCTCCATCATTCCTTCGCTCCTTTCACACTGACTCTCTTCCTCTCTGCCCTTCTTTTCATCCTGCTCGTGTCGTAGTGATTAGGCGCAGCGACCTTAATTATTCTCACGCATCGGCCAAATTGAAATCTTGGCGGGGTGACTGTAATAGTGTACGCGAGCTGCCGGAGGAAGCGGTATGAGGGCCGGTGGGGGCGACGATCGTGCGATTGTCGACGGGGGGACGAGGACTCAACGCGAGCAACGGCAGCAACGAAAGATGAGCTCCTCGGATGATGCGCGAGCGGCGCTCCAACCGAGACGACTATTATTTTACGAATTGCGGCGATTAAAAGCGATTAAATGCCGCGCTTTATTCGCGCTCGCTTTTAATCGAGCCCAATGACGCGACAATTAGCCGTGGCGGGTGACGTCGTCGATGCACCGCTCGCTCGGGCATTACGAGCGAATGGGATGGTCGGAAGGGTGGGAGGGAGGGGAGGGGAGGGGGGGGGACGAGCACTTCTTTTTCACGAGGGAACTTGATTTCCTCGGTCGCGCCGTATTAGACGCCATGCTAAGCCGGCGAATTCCCGGTGAATTATTAAGCGCGACCGTCCCGAGTCGCAAAATTAAACTGCGCACCTCTGAATATTTAATTGCACCATAGTTTTCATTTCTGCTTTATTCGCTTTGGCCCGTTTTTATTAAAAATCCCCGGTCGCGCCCCTGTTTATTTGTATAACTTCGCTCATTATTTATGTTCGAAGGATTTAAGCCTGGCGCTTGCTCTCTTCGGCCAGGCCTGTCCCGTTCGAAATTGCCATTCGATTAGTTGAGGTTATTAAAAATTTACGTGGACCGTTGCAGAGGCGCTCTTTGCGCGAGTTAATAGCCGTTCGGCATCGAAATTCATCCCTTTCGTCGGGCATTATCAATGCAACGACCCGGTGACTCGCGCTACTTAAGCCAGGACTCTTCCAATACAAGGCATATTTGGACCTCGGTCTTCCCTACAGCCCCATCACTCCATGCCGCTGCCACCGCCACCGCCACCGCCACCGCTGCCACCCCCCGGATCGCTCTACCCTCGTGCCCGGAGGAATATCAAGACGCGCGCATTGCCGTGATGGAAGCCGGGTGGGAGATTCGCGGCGGCCTTATAGATCAGAATCGGGCGTTCCGCAGCGGATGCCGTGCATAGCGCAATCGAATTCTTACATCATTGGCCGGCCCTGTCTAGGCGTTCCGACCGACCGACCGACCGACCCCCCCCCCTGGGTATTAGCCACCAGCCCCTTCCCTACCCTCTCCACCCCGCCTCTAATCAAGATGGGCCCGCGTAGTTGTATTAGAGAACGTCGGCCCTTATCTACTGGTGTACGTACGTGGCGGGGAGTCGGGTCGGGTCGGGCGAAACGAGGAGCGAAGCGATAGATAAGGGCTACGTCGGCTCGTTATGCAGCTGCATGTAGGTCGATTATAAATAATAATTTCGCGGCTCCCGGCCGGTACCTCCGTCATTACGCCATTTATTTGAACATCAAGGTCCGTTTATTTTCATCGTCCTCTTTCGTTCAGATGAAATTGGTTTTTAAGGCGCGGAGTTCGCGGGTCGCTTAAAAGCTGCCCTGGCGCTTAATTATACGAGATGCGCTTATTTGCCCGATATTTTAGAAGTTTCTCGCGCTTGAGTAGCGGAAGAGAAAGAGAGAGAGAGAGAGAGAGAAAGTCTAGCGACGATTGTAATCTCGGCTGACGCCCCGCGTAATTGCATTTCATTTGAACTCAGCCAGTTCGTGATAAGTTCAACTGGACTGGCGAGTGGGTAGATGATTGGGGAGGTGGGAGGGAAATTGCGAAGAATAATATTCTTACGACACGTTCGGTTGAACGTTTGAGCTTACGCGTACGGCACATTATATTCACGAAGCTCTATTGCCGTTGTTTTCGAAACGAGCCTATTCGTCTAAACTTGCGGTTTACCCATTTCGCCTCTATTAGCAATAATCGGATGTTTAATACTATTGTTGAGTGTCTAAATTTATAAATATAATCAACAGGGTCGGTAATTTTCATATTTTATCAAAGTTCGTAGTCTTTTCTTTCGTTGTCGTTGTCGTCTATCCGATCCTAAAACAACGACGTAATAAGCTTATCGTCGCTGCTACGCGATTATCCGTAATAATATTTTAATATTGTTTATCGTGTCGAAGGAGAAAAACGAAAAAAAAGTAATTTTTTGGTATTCAAACGATCGCAATATTTGGCTGTATAATTTTCTTCTCATTTATGACAAAGCTGCGAGCTGTAATGTGGGCCAGCGATCTACGAGAATTATAATTGGGTAGTTGATTTAAGCATATCGAATATTGGCGAGATTGGCGCGTTTGTCGATTTAATAGTCGATAATTCCGCGTAAATAGTTGTTGGAGTGGATTTTTGCCTCCTCGCGGTCTCTCACAACTCTGTACCTAATCCGTCAAATGAAAATCCTAACTTCGTGATCTGGGAAAATTGTACTTGCCCGGAGTTAAATGTTATAAAAACAAGAATATTTCATGAAAGTCATTTGAATATTCCGTATTTACTTCAATCCCGGGCAAATAAGCCAACAACTACTACTAAAGCTTAAACGGATTAGGCGATATAATTTATCCGCTTTAGCCTCGCACGTACGCATAAGGGGAGACACGTCATATTTTTTACAATTAGCGTTAGCAGGCATCAACGGGACTACTACCGAAAAAATCTCGAAAATATTCATAAAAACGCCCGGCTAATGTGAAATGGATGCCATAAAAACAAAAACAAACAGCAACAAAAATGATAGGTTGAGAGAAATAATAAAGCAACGAGAACGATCAAAATGTTGACGACGTCAACAACAACAACAGCAACAGCAACAAAAATAACAATAACAACAACAACATCATCCTCATCAACAATAACAACAACAACAACAACAACGGCATTGGATTAATGGGCGAATTTGGGAGCACATTGTGGTATTGTCGGGCGTAAGGTGAACCTAACCGTAACGTGAGACTCACCTTTGCCGGGCGACCTGAGCGCGACCTTGGCTCCAGGTTGGGCGACGAGGAGCTCGGACGTGGGCTGGCCGCCTCCGCCGTTGTGTGCGAACGGCTGATGATGATGATGGTGGTGATGGTGGTGGTGCAGCCCGAAGAGGAAGGGCTCGGCCTGGGGCTCGCGGAAAGTCGTACCCTGATGCGCGGGGCTCGCGCTTCGGGCGTAGAGGAAGGAGGCGCCAGATGAGCTCGGGGAGCCCGAGGGGCTGCAGGCACGACGCGGGCCCGTAGTCAGGTTGAGGGGCCGCTCGTCGGACTCCTCGTGATTGGCCAGCGCCTGGAAGCCGACCGAAGCCTGGGTGCTGGAGTAGCTCGCGGCCGAGGCCGGCGACATCATCGGGGAGGCCGGGCTCGGGGTGCACGGCGGCGACGTCAAGCTACCCTGTTATATTACACCCAAATGCCAAATCAGCCCAAATGCTCGTACGTTCGATGATTCTCTTTCTCTCCTCCACACCCCACCCCACCTTTTCCGTCACGCTACCCAAGTGGAAAGGACAGTTCGCGGCACCCGGCCAATGTTTTTGTTTGCGGGGCTCGCGCCCCCTCGTTAAACGGCGCCACTGAAAATTCGTGGAGCGGCTTTTATCGGCCGTTCGGCCAACCGTTCTAAACATAAACATTGCCCGAGCCGCCGATGCCAACTGCGACATTGTCGTCAGCTTGGGGGTGGGATTTGTCGGTGTGGGCGGCGGGGCGGGGGAGGGGGGGGGGGGGGGAGACACGAGCTTACGCGAGCTTCCGATTCCAGCCCCAACTTGGTCCCTGAAGGAGAGGGGGTTGAATGGGGTTGAAGGAGTGTTTGTATGTCTTTGGAATGGCGGAGAGGTGAAAGGATGTATGGTGGTAAGGGGGTGAAGGGAGAGAGGAAGGGACTTCACTTTATTTGGGCGCTCATAGCGCTTCGTTAACGGCGGATCCGTCGATCCGGAAGTCAGCGAGGCGAGAGAGATCGCGCAATGCCATTGTTGTCAAGGCGAAAGAGCAAACGGATGAGCGATGGTCGAAGTCGGGGTCGGGTTGAGGGAGGGGTGGGGCGGCGGTGGGGGATCGAAAGAAGCAGATGAATGATCGTGGCTGGACAGTGGGCGGCAAGTGAAAATCATCGACGATACTCCCGGTCGCGGTGCCGGGAGGATCGGGCGCATACGGGGATAACGGGGTAGTTGTTGGCGATGATGCTGACCGTGTGAACGGAGGCAGGCGAATGCGCCGGTAGGGGCGAGTAGATGGGCAGGGGCGCCCTCACCAGCGGACTGCCGGCGCTGAATCGGCGGGGCGTCGGCGCCAGGAGCTTGCCCTGGGGCCTCGTTCCCCAGCTGGCCCAGCCGCTGCCCCAGCCGAGGATGTCGCTGATGCGGTGTGGCGTAGGCGTCCGGGGTGGCGTCGCGTAAACGTGCTCGTGCCAGGAGGCGAGGGTCCCGCGGGCGGCGATCGTCCTGCTGGGTGAGGGGCTCGGTGGCCGGATCGGGACCGCGTCCCTGGATTTGTCCCCGAGGCTGCCATCCTCGGAGGCCGCTCTGCCTCGTGCGTGGGCCGCGGCCTCCTCCGACTCCGCGTCCGACGGCATCTCACGGAAGCTTCCGCCGGGCTGCAGCAGGACCTGGGCCATAAACGCGGCCTGCGGCTGGACCTGGTGCTGTCGATCGGCGCCGCATCGGCGCACCGGCCTTCACACTGGTCGCCGCACCAGCTCCGCCCCAAACTCGCGGGCGCTCCCGCGCTTCTCTAACTCTTTGGCTTTTGGCTGAGGCTGAGTGGGGCCGGCGGCGATCGCCGGCTACGCTTCTTCGTTGCTCGTCGGGCTCGACGGGCTCGAGGTGACGCGGCGGGAAGCACCGTAAATGACTTCCGATCATTTGGGGCTCACGGCCCCGCTAACGACCTCGCCGCCTTTCCACCTTGCGCAAAAAGTCCTTTAGGCAAAGTCGGGCCAGCTAGCCGCCGACGACGACGACGACGACGACGACGACGACGACGACGACGAGGACGACGACGACGAGGACGACGGCGACGGCGGCGACGGCGACGACGACGGCAACGGCGGCGGCGGCGTCATCGTGCCGCGCGGCGAACTGAAGATTCCCCCCGTAGCTCTCAGCCGAGGCGCCGACTCGTCGACGGCGACTGTGAGAGCGAACGGGAGAGAAATCCTTCGGGTTCTAAAGTTCGTTGGGCGCGTCGGTAATCGTAGACGCTTTACAGATTATCATAATAATCGCGAGCGAGGAGGTTCATGGAAGCGCAATCCGAGGCCCGGCTTCCCTCGTCCGCACCCGGGCTCCAGCGACTTCCGGCCTCAGCCTTTGCCCGCTATTGGCGCGGCTGTCGACGTGACCGCGACTCGCATAATCCAACGGGCTGGCCCAGTCAGGCGCTTATCCCGGGTGGGACCAGTACCTCCACGGGCATATCACCGGGGGCCGCGAGCCTCCGCGGCCCGCGTCCTAATCCCACGGCCAACAGGTGTCACTGACGGCATGTTCGTCGGCCCGGTCTCACTCCGGACGTCGTCGGGGCGGCGGGGGGCCCGCCGCGCTTCTCGCGACTGCGCGTCGGCTCCGAGGCCGCATCGGCCCCCGCGCTCTCGCCGCGCTCACTCCTCGCGTCCGGGCGGCCCCCCCGCCGCGCCGGAACCACGTGCGCTAGTCTTCTTGCGGAGGCGGCGCACCCGCGCTCGCGCGGCCAGGGAGGGGCCGGGAGAGCGGCACGTGTTTGCGCGAACGCACTTGACGCGTGAGCGGCAGCGGCGGCGGCGGCGGCGGCGGCGGTGGTGGCGTCGGAGGTGGCGGCGGTGGCGGCGGTGGCGGCGGCGATGGTGACGGCGATGTTGACGGCGACGTTGACGGCGACGTTGACGGCGATGGCAACGGCGGCAGCAGCGACAGCGGCAACGGCGATGGCGATGGTGGCGGCGGCAGCAGCACCAGCAGCACCAGCAGCAACAGCACCAGCAGCAGCGACGGCGGTGGCGGCGGGAACGGCAACCGCGAGCACGAGCACCACTTTCGCTTGCACCACAACCGCGACGAAGTAAACGACGTTCGCAACTACTGTGGCAACGACGACGGAGTCCCTCCTCGGTTCGCGACCGAGTCTCTTCGGGAGGGAAGCTCGTGGAGGAGGGGGTGGGGGAGACGAGGCGCCGTCGACGCTAAGAGAGCGAGAGCGCGCGAGTCCGTTGACGCCCGTTTACCGACTGATTGCCGACGAGGATTTAGGGTACGACGGGCTCTCCGGGCAGTCGCGGGTGCGACGGAGACGGCGCACGTCCGGGCGGCCGCGTAGTGGGGGCGGCCGCTACGAGCAAGCGCGCACTCCTCCGTTGATCGGTGGACCGTCGGGGTGGGGTGTGACGGTGGCGGCAATGCGAGCGGGGTCACGAAGAGGGGAGGGGTACCGTAGTAGTCGTCGTCGGCGTGGTCGTGCGGGGGTGTAGAAAGGCGCGCGCGCAGCCCGGGGACGACGACGCTGAGGCGCCGGCTGATTTTCGGCAGAACTTGGAGGCTCGCGCAGTCGATAGTACGCGCCTCTTACGGGACGAACGGTTACTCCCGGTGCTTTATCGATCAACGCCCCCCCCCCCGTCCCCCCGTCCCCCCGTACCCCCGTACCACCGTCCCACCGAGCCCCAATAAAACTTACCCATCGACCAATAACCCCAATCGCGCCCCCCGCCCCTGTGCCCAATAACCCTTCCGGGGCCGTCGCGCGATCTCCTTGTAAAGTGCAGCGGGCTAGGGATGGCGGTCCCTAGAGCGATCGCGAGTCGCTCGAAAGACCGGTCTGACCGGAGCCGGTCTGCCTCTACTTCGAAGTCCGAGACGGGCCTCCCTTCTCCAGCCCCCCGAGGTCCACCCCTCGAGCGGGGCTGATTCGCCGTACCGACTGCCAGTGTCGGAGGCGGTCTTCTACCCGTACGGTGGCGGTTTATCAGCGACTGCGAGAACCGGAAGAAGAACCGCCGCCTGCGCCGGTCAACTTTCGCTTTCGCCGAATGCCTCGTACGAGCAATTATTGGGCACTTGGCGCGCGCGCAATCGGACCTCGGATTTTTCCACGCTACGGAGAGTCCGTAACTGCATCTGAATAAAATTCACGAGCGGATAATTGGGTCGTTTCGAGCCACTTTACAGCGTATTGTAAATTCTTTATAACTACCGCTCGAGCTGTCCGTCCCTAATGGAAAAAACTTTGTTTTAAGTCTTTGCCCATGTTAACTGGCTCATGGGATTCTGTTTAGCAATGTTCGTAAAAGGCCATGGGAAACTTGTACGTTTGTGGAGTAGCTAAATAGGTATTAATTTCTAAATAAAGTAGAATAGATTAGCGGTTTATATACGAGTCATTCGGCGCTTGTCTTTCATTATGTTCATTATTATCCTTTTTACCATCGCTATACCAATACTTTAATACTTTACATATTATGCTTAATCGAGCAATCTACGGAGAGAAGAAATTTAATAATACAATCCGGTATTATTAGAAATTGATTGCAGGCGAATAATTTCATAGCGGTATCGTCTGTATTTTCGAGCTCCAGATTACATTTCTGATAAAAGCATCCGATATCTTGGCATATACGCCAATTACAGAACATCTTTCAAGCTTTTAAAAATAAGCTGATTGAAATGTTTTCAGATGTGAAAAAGATTTTTTGAAAAACATATTTCGTTAAATGATACATTATTAGAGGACATATATCTTATCATTGATTATTTATTATTGCGTTTTACTTTTCCTTCTCTATCCTTCCCCTATAAATAATATTATCTTTATGACAATTACAAAATTTTTCGATTTTTTGATGCGGTTCATAATTATTCCTTAGTGATGGATTATTAATGCTTTAGTTATAAATATATGAACATAATTAATCTTGTAAATCAATAGAAAGCTTCACTTAAAAAAAAATATTACTCGACAAATATTTTAGCCAACGACCTCGTCTTCGAAATGATCCCTTCTTTTTTTAACGGATTTGTATGAAATTGGCCGGATACATACAAATTTGCTTAGTTTCAGGATTTCGTTGAAAAGGAAAAAGAAACTTTATTGATATCTCAACTGAACGTAAAAATTAAAAAAAAAAAAAAAAAAAAAAACTTATTTTCTTGTAAGGAAGCTCCAACAGATATTACAACGGGAATTACTGTCATTTCAATTAACTTATTGGTTATATTTATTATATTATTCGTTAATATGCATATATTTCATGAGATATAATGTATTAAAAATTATTAAGACATTAATATATTTGGTTTAAATTGCCTAAATTAATAAATTAATTTCACGACAGTTTTTCGTGTAATCTGCTTGTTCTACTATTGGGAAGTAATATTTCGAAAATAATAAGTCGTTAATGATGATTTGACTAAGTGTCTGATGAGTATCGTTTCATAATTACTTATGTGTATTTGCAATTATACGAATGTTTCCAAGATTTTAGTCAACTTCATTTTCAATTGAATGCCAACTTTTAACTTAATAATCTTCTCACGTTATCTCAAATAACACGAAATACTTTTTACGTTAAAGAAAAAGTTTATACGACGAGATGCTTTATTATTTGGAAAAATGAGCTTTTTTAAGTTACACAGCTATGAACAGCATGGAATCGTACACCGTTTAAAATAAATATTCACATTTTCAATATGAAATTTAAATATTTGCAGGCTGAATGTTTATGTAATGTCATGAGATTTTACAGGTATTAGTTGTGTAGATAGATATTATAGGCACATTATCCATCAATATGAACTAATAAAAATTAATATTTTAATTTTGTCGAAATACATAGCTTCTTTTCACGGCTAATTATATATGATTATGTTATTAATAAATTTGCATCGTTTATTATTACGGTTTATTGATCAAATAATTCTTATCATATTATTTTCATGTAAAGGTACGTTTTCCAAAAATTTCTATATATACAAGATTCATAATTATCTAGGCGTAAATATATCTTTATAATCTTAATTTTATGCATTACTACGTTACAATAAAAAACATGTTAAACTAAAACAAACAAATTTGCGTAATTGTTAGTGGAAAATAACTTTATTTTAAGCATTTTCTTTTAAAATAATCTGCATATAACGTAAAATAGGCAATTTATGGTTATCTGGTAATTAGTGAAAATTTTCGGAATATAATTTGATATTTTATGATTTAAATGAAATAAAATTTCACTTAAAATAAACTGATGACTATAATCGAATTATATTTTATGCGAAATTGTTAATGTACGTTGGAATTTAAATTGATAGATTCACCTTTTAACTAAATCCAAATAAATCCAATAATCGAAACAATAATTATTTATAATTCTACATAATTTTTTATTTTATTAATTACAATTGCGAATTCATAGGGTATCTGAAAATTTATGTAAGAGGCGCTTAAGTCTATCCTAGCCATAATGCAACATAATTTTAGATTAGCCTGTACGAATTTTCTACATTAAATTTAAATAATATTCATTATTTATCAAGTTATAATGATAAAATAAGAAAAAAAATTTGTTAAGCAATAATTACTTAATTTTTTTATATTGAAAATCTCTTGTCTTCTTAAAGTTACACGATCTTCATTTATTTATTCATACACACCGACACACAATTAAATAAATAGTACAAGCAATTATTAAAGCATAGTGGGCGTTACATTTTATGCCAATAAATAAATTACATTTTTCATTCTATCTGTTTAAATAGTAACTATGCAATTATTAATACCATGTATTTTCTAAAATTTTCAATCAGGTTTTAAATTTTTTTCTCATAAATTGAGGATAAAGATGTGTCGATATTTTAATTGTAATTACTATTCAGAGAATTAATCAAATACAATAAATAATACAACGCTACATTAAAATGTAAAATATTTGAAGGCAGAGATGATGCGGATCATTTATAAAATAAAATATTCAATATGCAAATATTGTTTAATAGACAACGTTGATATTATT